TCTTTTTTGATCAACAAAGTATGTGAATATGTATAACCACGATTGAAAGTAATAAGTATAAAGTACTATTAACCCTAATCTTATTACCCAAAAAAAACCCTAATCTAAATTGATAATCCACACAAATAAACAAGCATTTATTAAGTATAAAATATTCTCTTCTTCCAATTTTATTTGATGTTTTAGTAACAAAAAGAAAGTCCTATTTAATTGTTATTTTACAATTAATACTAAAGACACTAAATATTTTTTTCTCCTATTTTATCCTTAACCTTTTATTATGTGAGATAATGTAACTAATATGAAAGATAAGAGATGTATAAAGAAAATGCATAATAATTATTAAACATTTAAAATATTAATTACATTTCTCAAAACCCTAAACATTATACTCCATGCATTTGTGGACCATCAACATTTATTTTAAACGCCTTTATTTAATATAAGATGCATTAATTTGTGGCCTTTTGTTTGTTATCAAAGTGATTTTAAAATAATTTACAAGTATTATACTCCGTATAACAATCAATACTAGTTATTTTAAATAGTGGAATACATGGAAAAATAATTTACGAGTTAAAATATTTATAGTTTTGGAATTAGAAAACTAAAACATTAATAATTTTAAGATGAAGTTTATAATTATGAATAAATTAATAAATTGACTGAACCAGTTATGTAACAAAAATGATTTTTGGATGGGAAAAACAATTCTTGAATCTAGGCCCACATTAAAAGGTAAACCAAGCATGCATACATATCGTGAAAGAGAACTGTATACTTTAAATGAGTGCTTATCTGTATGACTACATCGAGTAATTAATATTTAGTAGTGGTGGGTGCATGAATTCAAGAAAAGTTCAAGAATTAATGCAAATTGAATCTTTGTATGATAAGCATTATATTATAGACCCTTACTTAAGCTGGTGACTGACATATATAGTAGCTGAGCACCATTGATAAAGTAGTATAATTGTTGAGATATTTGGAGTTTTTGGTGTGAAAATATGAGAAAATATTATTAGTAACAGTTAACAATGTGTGCTTAATTATGAATAAAAATAAAGTGATTAGATGTTTGGAATTAAGAAGAAAATAGAAAAATAAATTTTTTGAAATCAAGAAATGTTATCTTTATGTATGTTTATTAATTTAATATGATGTGTCTCAAAATCAAATACAAATTATAATTCATTATGATTATCATAATATTAAAATCCTTTCCATCCAAAGTCTTTTAATTGATGTGATATGGCAAGAATTGAAATTAAAATTTTAAATTTAAATTTAAGTTGAGATTAAATTAAAATTTTAGGTGATAATATTTGTGAACAAAAAAAGCAAGATATTTGTTCTAAGGTTATATTATGTGATTTAATGAGAAAAAATAATTCTTAAAAATATTTTAAAAAACATTAGAATCACACACTCTCTAAAACACACTTTTGTATATACATTTTTTTTATTAGTTAAATTTATTAAAATTATAAAATTTGGTGATTTCATCTCATTGTTTTTAATGAATTTCTCATGGTTTTATACTTTTTAAAAATCACAACAAATAAAAAAGAGTTTCAAAAAGAATGTGTTAGAGAAAGTATTATGTATTATCAAATTATCATTCCTATGATATTTTTATTCAAGAATAAACTTCGATTTATGATAAAAGCACCTATTATAATTAAGTTTGTACTGACATGTACAATGTTCAAGTTGGCTAGCAGGGTGTGTTGTGGATGATTGTGGTCTAAAAAACATACATAAAGACAGTGTATCCAATAGTGATAATTTGTAGAGTTGAATGTCCAAGTGAGAAACCAATAAAATTAAACAATGTCTATATAGAAGGATAAATGTACATGGAGAAAGCTGATCGAGAGTGTATTAATATATTTATAAGCATATAGATGTGACTTGTTGAGTGGGCAATCCAATGTAAATCACTCCCATGCAAGAGTTAATAGTTGGTAAGATATATATTCATGCTATAGTGGGTGGAAACAAGACGCAAGGTCCATATAATGTATTATAAGACTAGGATTCAACAACCATGATTCTAGTTTGACTCAGAGCCCTTCATGCCGGAATGTGTAGTCGCCCGATAGTTGACTCAAATCCGAGCTATTAATACAAAATCTCATATATAAAAATTATTATGAATATTGTTATAATTATATTTACGACATCATAAGAAGGAACTTTAAAATATTAAAACCTATCAAGTTATGGGCAATTTTAATCAATGAAATACTTCAGTTGTTGAATCATTAATGGGAATCCGTTTATAAGGTTGACAAGTACGTAGTACGCAATTAAGGATTTATGTCTTCGGGTTAAATTTGGGACTTGGTAAAGGCTCGCGTTACGTGGTCGCAAACGTACTAAACATACTGCAAATTCTACCCTTTTAAAAGACTGGTTCCAACTAAACATCACACTTTTTTTCAAAGGTTTTTTTAATTCAACCAAAAAAAAAAAATCAATCATTTTCCTTTCCTTTCCTTTAATTAACAAAACACGACCGTTAATCATTGCACGTTTTATTCAAGGTATATAAAAGACTTAACATATGTTTAAATAATTTTTTCTATAAATATTTTAAAAAACAAATAAAACACGTCCTTCATCGTTAAATGTTTTATTCAAGAGAAAAGACTTAAGATATGTTTGAATAATTTTTTTAATAAATATTTAAATAAATAAATAAAATAAACTTTTCAAAAAAATAAAATTAATTTATGTTTGAATTAATTTCGAATTTTTTTTATAATAACTTTTCTAATAACTTATGGAGAAGTTAATTTAATTAATAGAGAGGCTAATTTTTATTTATAAAAATAATGTTTTTCTTCTTATTTTTTTTTATAAGTACTTATAAAAAAAAGTATTAAAAAATAAGTGGTAGAAGTACTAAAGTCGAAATTTGAATAAGTTTACATATATAGGTTTGACAGTGTTGGGTCCTCCTGGATCAGCATTGTTGAAAATTATAACTAAAAAAGATATGTAAAGAGTTGGGTTGAAGGAGGGCATTGAAGGGGGACCTCATGCGATGATGATGGCGATGGGTTAAAATGGTGATGAAAGTGATGAGGAGGAGGCAGATTAGCAGTTTCCAGGAAAGTGCCTTTTTTCTCCCGGAAAGTCTCTCTCATGATATTTATTGGTCCACAGCATGATGAATGATGTGTGGAATTGAATTGAATTCATTATTGTGTTATCCCCAGTGAAATCCACCTGCACCTACGTAAATTATTTATTTATTTCTCTCTATATATGTACAAAGTTTGTTAGGTGTTAAGAAGTCCTGAAACTCATTAATATGCAGCAGTGATAGTGATAATTGCCAATTGGTAGATGAATATAGAGTATATTAAAATAAATACATTAATTGAGTAAAAAGGAATAAATGTGCGAGTGTTAGTTATATTGAATGATGATAGCGTGGTATGGGGGAGATCTGGGCCGTTGATTGTGGGCGGCAGATGACGTTTAAGGCGGAATATTAGGGCCTTCCGGGTCCGGGTTCGTGGCAAAATAAGTGAAAAAGGTTCATGTTAAGAGAGACGAATTCCCATTGGGCCATCACGTGGGGAGTGACCCACAAGTCCCCTTAAAGGCAAAGCACCTCACGAGACGGCACCGTGGTCCGTGTAATCAAATCAACTCTCTTTCTTCAAACTCAACCATCCATTTCTTTCTCTCTCTACTCTCTCCTCCAGGCTCCACCCCCTATCCCTATGCCTATGTTTCTCTCATTCCATCCCTCTTTAAGCAACTCATTTCCAGACACAAACACGTCACCTAACTTCCCTAAATCATAACTTCCCATCCCACTCATACATTCATTCATTCATTCATTCATATACTCAATATTTCATTAATACAAACTAATTCATAAATTATTTCTCCTTCATATAACAATTTATCCATCAATTCATAAACACATTTTTACTTTAATTAACTAGTATCAAATTCAACCCTTAAATATGGTTTAATATTTTAAAATAGATGTAGACCGTATCAATATATGATGGAATTTTATTTAACTGTCGTTGTTCTATAAGTATTTCTTTTATTTTTCTTTTGTTACTGTGCCGGTTTGCTCCTATTGACCGGTATTTTCCCGGGTAGGGGTAGGTTAAGATATAAGCCATACTACCTAAGACAACTTTTTTTTTTTTTTTTTTCTAGTTCTTCCTCAACTAGGCCTTCTTACCGGCCGGTATATAGAGACAACTTTCGAGTTACAATTTGGTAAAGTCTTCTCCAGAATAATAATATCAAATTCGAACCCTGACTTTATAATTTACAAATAAAGTTTGACATGATGTTATAGTCCACTGACACTATGATATCAACCATTATATATTCTTGGGTATGCTTGAGATAATTTTGCTCGACTCAATTCTAAATAAATGATATAACAAATATTTTTTTCCCCTCGTGGGTAGAAATGCTAATTTTCTGCTTAATTTCATTCAACAGTGGAAGAATATTATATATAATTACACCAAACACGTAAATAATTTTAAAAAACTGTATTAATTATTTTAAGAAAACTCAACTTGATTTCATATAATATTAATTATTTGCAGTAGTCGCATATTTAGAGCAATTTTAAGTATATAGTTAAGATTAAAAGTTAATTAAAAATTATATAACTACTTAAAATTAAGGTCACATATATTTATTTTTAAATTTCTATTTTTTGATGAATATGATTTAAATATATTTTTATTTTTGACAATAATAAGATTTATCACGGAACAACAACTGAACGAAGTCTAAAGAAATGTTACAGAGTCAGGAAAAAGAGATGCACGTTAACTTGCGTCCTTGGAATGGAGAAAGAAATCAAATTAGCCCCCACAATTATCGTGAGTACTTTTTCTTTTTCAATGAAACGGGGATAATGGTTGGTTGACAATATTAACATACGTGAATCTATATATAATGCTGTATACATGCACTTGCCATGAGAATTATTTAAAGAACAATAAAAAAATTATAATTCCTTGATAGATGGATGCCTTCTATAATGGTTTATATATAAACATACAACAGAGGAAGAAAAAGCAAAAGGCAATTTCAATCAGCAGTTACGTACTATATATATATATATACTGGATGAACAGTATTAGCTAATTACAACTTTTACCCTAGCTAGACGCATCGCCCTGCCCTCAACCAAAAAAATACAATGGTTGTGGGAAATAACTCGATCTTGACAACTTTTACCTTGCCTTTGAAGAGTGAAAACCTAACCATAATCATCAACATGCTGCAGAAGGATTGGCGAAGGGGTTGTAAAAGTGAGGCTTGGGAGCCATGGAGAAAGGGCTTTTATTTGAAGCGTTATCGTTGAGCCTCTCGCAAGAGGGGCACATGGTGAGTGTGGCCGCAGGCATAGGCATGTACAAGGGCTGCGCTAGCTTCAGTGCCTTCAGCTCTTGAAGCTCCTTCTTTAGCCTCCTGTTTTCGTCCGTCAACGTTTCACAGCATTTCTTTAAGAACTCACAGTCCACCTCCGTTTGCTTCAGCTTTGTTCTGCAACACGGTTTCAACCACAACTTTCTAATTAGACAACCACCACCAAATGACTCTGGATTTCTTTAGTTTCATGCCACACGTACGGATACCAATTTTTTTTTTTTTTTTTTAACATACATGAAGACGTAATGGAACATTTTTTATGGTATTATAATCAAAACTCAAAAGATTACGTACCTAGCTCTCCGATTCTGGAACCACACTTCAACTTGTCGAGGACGTAGATTTAACTGCCTGGCTAAAGCTTGCTTCTGTTTCTGTAAATCCAAGACAATAATATTAATTAAAATTTGAAAAAAAATTCACTGATTAATTAAATATGGATAATAGGAAAAAAGAATAATAATTATTTACAGGATTGAGAGTGCTGTGTTGTTTGAAGCTGTCCTCAAGGAGTGCTGATTGTTCTTTGGTGAGCCTGAGTTTTTTTCTAGCATTGTTTCCGTCTTCGTCTTCGTCACTGACTCTTGAAGAAACCCTCTCTTCTACCTCTACCTCTATATCTTCACAGCTAAGGTCCCTCTCCCTTTTGACGACCCTTCCAGTTGAGAAAGACGAAACCACGCTGTGAGGTGAGGTCTGTCTAGACAACTCAAGAGGGTCCTCGCAATAAACCTTGTTGTTGGCAACAACGTTGTTTCTTGGAACTAGCTTGGCGACGTGGTTACTCTCACCGGACAGACCCAACGTTAAGGACGGTTCGTTGGAGGAATAATAAGGCTTGGATGGTGTTGGCTTAATAAGATGATCATCGGGTTTGGTGGATGGAGCGGTTTCCTTTGTGGTAGCAGTCAAAGATAGCCCTAGAACGAGGTGAAGGCCTGAGGTATTGGCATCCTGATGAAGACCCATTTGAGAGAATGGAGCGATGTGGGGGATATTGTAATACGTATCTATCTGCTTCAGTTGGAAAATTATAGATGGTGTGTGGTTTAAAGGCTCATGGGATTGAATTTGAAAGGGTCTTAAGAAGAAGAAAGAGAGAGAGAGTGTGTGAGTGAATAGGACCTTTTGTGGGGGCGTTGGGTGGGTGGGTGGGTGGCTATGATTATTGTTAATCAAATGGAGGAATGAGTAGAGAAACGAATCTTGATATATTGGAAAATAATGAAATGAAAGTCTCTTGTAGTATATCTCTTGTTGCATAGGTTGACCATTTGAGTCCTAGTACTGTTACGTCCATTATAATTACAATTATAATAACAGACAAATTTGGAAAATCCCTCCCACTCTCTCTTTCTCTACAGTGCACATGGTTGTACAAAAACACATCAAGTGGGTTGCCTCCGCTACCAACGGACGTACCAGATATAACTATATTTTCCTATTATCATTACTATTACCACACTTTCTTTACCTATATATGCTTCCTTGCGTATGTGGTAGTTTCACTTTACATTGTACCAATTATTGGCCCCCCTTTAGTCCTGCTTTACTCGTGTACTACCAGCTTTTTTTTCCTTCTCTCTTTTTTCTCTCCTACGTTTATTCATTTTCTCATCATTCTGCTTCTTTCTTTTAATTTATTTTCCACGTTACCCCTCCCCCTCTCTCCCACCCATACACTGATAAATTGTCCAAGCATATGCATTGGTACTCGATTATGCAAAGATTTTTACATAAGTTATTTCGAAAATAATTTAACATAACGATCGAAAAAGCCAAAAATGAAGATATGACTGGGGATAGGTGTATAATATATATATATGTATTGTCAGAATGTTTTGCAACTATAAGAGACCCACATGAACTGTCTCCCACTCCATGCCTGGTTGAACTAGTTAGAGATGGGTACCATGTCACTTTGCTTACCAATCTTGCATACTTTTTAATGAATTAGGAATGTGAGGGATGGTTGGGCCTTTTTTCTCAAGCTTGTGATGAATGTGGAAGATTAGAAAGGGATGTGCACTATTTGTTTGTTTCCAATAGAAAATAAGATAAAAGTAGGTATAAGACACAAATGGAGTTTCAAAGAGTTATAATGGTGCCAGAATATGATTCATCAACAAGAATCCGGATCTTTGCTTAACTAGAAAGTTGATGTGGAGTGTTTGGGACCTACTTTTCTGTATTAGTACTATAAGCACTTCCAATAATGCATTGTCGGCGATGCTGAGCAGAAGTTAGGTCACCCATAATTAATGATAAACCTAAAACAATTAGTCACCAGGAAATAACGGCGTTATTACCACCGGCTTTTACAGCATTATTACTTGCCACACATATATCATCAAACAATTTTTCGTCCACTTTTCTTTTTCTTTTTTCCTTCATAGATATGCATTCTTAATTATATGGAGTATTTACCAAGCATATCTCCTTAATTAATGTAAATAAATTAAATTGGAAAATTTCTTTGTTGATCACAAAGGAATTGTAAACATGCATGTTCTCACTGAATGTTATAGAAGAATAAAAAAGAAAGAAAATTCAAAGGGAAAATATCATCTTTAAGCTACTCAGCCTCAGGGGTTAATTAATTGGGAATTTAATTAAATTAAAAACTAAAATGGGTCCTTTTATTAAAACAACATAATCGATTAATTGAGCAGGATGTTCGATGGGAATAAACACACGCATCTTTAGTTTATCTTTAATTGGATACATCATCATGGGTGCACAAAAAGTGGACGGGGGCAAATGATTATTTTGAAAATAAGAACGCAAGTTGTTTTGCTTTTCGGTACCTGAATCTTATTCCAATCTCCCCTTCGATCACAACAAGGTCAAAAAGAGGGAAACACCTTTTTTTATTTTTATTTTCTTTTTAATGCAGAAAACACGACCTTTCAATTTTCAAACAACAAATAATAGTATTTCCTGCGTGTTTATTTACTTACTTTTTTGTGTAGGGCATAAGAAATTGTATTGTATCATACAAGCTTTTAGGCTGAACCGGTAGTTTAATAAGGCGAACTTATTTAATTTATTACGTCATGGGTAGGTATTTATGACGTCAGGTGAATATTTCATTTATTTTAAAAAGAAAATAAAATTTACAAAGAAGGCTCTACGGTCTACGTACAACACCACAAGTACAAGAGCTTTGATTGGTTTGCGTAAATATATAATAAAAGGCCATAAACCGCAATATTAATTTGAGAGTATTCATTAGATCAGAGAAATTTTGACAATCTTCATAATTTTAATTAAATCAATTAAATTAATTTAATTATATTTCACCTTAACCCAATGCAAATTAAATGAATTAGAATCATTATGATTAACCCAATAACAAAAGATTAAAGTAAAATGCACATGATCTTTATATATTTATTGTTTGTCATTAATTTTGATAATAGATAAAAAATAGTAAATTAATTAGTATTAAGAAGTTATTGATTTAAGTATAATTGAACAATGATTTCTTAAACAAGATTTCTTGCTCAAATATTGTAAATAAAAAAATATGATTAGAAAAAGAGACTCTATTAAAAATAGTTATTTAAATTTGGTAAAGTCAGTGAACATTTCATAATAATGACAATTTAAAAAAAATATGTTAATAATTCAGTTGTATATTTGATTTTACTTTTTATTTTAATTTGAATCCATCCAATCATCTGATAAATTTTAAACTTTAATTTACTTGTAAAAATAAAAAATATTTTTTTTTAAAATTTAGGTATTTAAAATTGTCATTTATTTTTGTCCTTTTTTCATTCATTTCAACAATTTTATTTGGTATTATTAAATGTTTTTGGTTTTATTTTTACTATCCAATTTCTTTATTATATTCTAGATGAAGAGATTAATAATTAAGGCGTGTAAAGTTATAATGGTGAAAAAAAGTCATAAAGATTAAAAATAAAATCAATATTAGAATTGATTTAATTATTTAAAATTTCAATATAATAAAAATATAATGATAGGATAAAATATTAAAGTATTTTTTTTCCTTTGGTTCATTGTTTAAATCAAATTAAATTAATTGTAATTGGATTTATTTAAGTTGAATTACCTGGAAAAAACTGTATAAAATTTAAATTAAACATACTGAATTTAACTTTTATTTTATCCTAAACAATAACTAAATTAACCTGTGGATAATGATTGAAGAAGTAAGATGAAGAGGGTGTGATGTAGCAAATTTTTTAGAAGAGGGTTATGCAGAGCTTTTTGTCAGCAGGTGGCTGAATAATAAAGTAGATGGGTAACGTTACTTTTGTTTTGATCTGGGACCCTAGGGGAGTAGATAGAATTTGACTTAGAAACAGTGAAGAAAGTAAAATTGTAAAGGCAATGGGAAATGGTTTTATATACATGCAGGAAGGAGAATAATGAGAATATGAGATGAGGAGGGAATGGGATATATTAATATATGTATACCTTTAATAAGTTTCTGTGTAATCACAATATATATGTGACGGATGCATGTGATTAATGAAATGAGTAATTTAAGCAATCGGATTCTACATGACATGGACGGAACAAAGTGACATAAAACCCAACAAAGCAGTGGTGGTTCTGGTGTCATCTGCACCGGCACGAGCCATAAGAAAAAATTGTGAGAAAAGAAACAGGTGGCGAGCAAAGATGGGTGGCACGAGGGATGTGTACGGGGCAGAGACACATGGGTCCACCAATGATTTGGTATGATGGGCATTTGATTCCGTGGGAGGTAGATGATTATGGAGCGTAGAAAGTTGGGAGTGATAGATAGATAGATAATAGATTAGAGGGATGAGAATTTGAGATAAGGTTTTCGTGATGTTTGTTTGTTCCTACCTTTAAGGCCAACCGACCATGTTGCTTTCCCAGTAATATATATATAATTTTCTTTTCTTTTCCTTCTTCAATACTCCTATTAACTATTAAGTATGTCTCAGCTCAGCGTGCGTACCAAATGTCCTATTCAAGGAAACAATGGCTTACTCAGCCTCTGCACTACACTGCAGGGTCCACCAACCCCCAACATTATTTGATACCCAACTCCTTATATCCATTCAATTTTTATTTTTATTTACTAAACCTTCTTTCATCAAAGTCCCCTCATAATTCTTCGATCGGTTAAGAATTAGAATATTAAAAGAACAACTAGATTTAGTTCCTACAAAATATTCTCTATCTCTTTTCTTATCCTCTCCATATTCTTCTTCTAGACAAAAACACAATGTTTGAACGCAAAATATGAATTTTGAAAAGAATATTGTTTAATCCAAGAAAAATAAGGGGAAAAGAGAGAGAGAGAAAAGTTATATATTAAATATAATTATATTTTCAATCACTATTTATTTTCTGTTACTCATCTTGGATGACAATTTTACAATTGAATTATTCGGTCCTAACTGTCAACTATCAATTTATATAACTTAAAATATGACTTGATGTTTAGATACATGTTTGAATGTAATTAATTAATTAGTTTTTTATGAAAATTAATTAAAACTGATAAATATTTTTCACTAATAATATAATTACCACAACAAATGTTTGAAATATTTTTCTAGTTTAATTTTATGTACATGTAGATATGTGTATTTAAATTTGATGCATTGTTGTGGTAGTTAAGCACCATGTGTTTATATATTATGAGAACAATCTATATAATAATTGGAAAATTTGTGTTCAATCTCTATTTTGTGTAAAAATTTGTTGTACCAAAGATAATCATATAAGTGTTACTGAAATTGTAACGACTTATCATAGTAACACTCAACAAAATCCTTATCACTAACAGCAAAAACTAGTACATTAGAACATTTAAAATTAAATGAGAGGACGTGTCATACATACGTACATACATATACATACATACATATATATATAAGAATAAAACACCTATACTAATATAGATAAGATATATACAAATGTATACAACAATATCAAAATGATCCTATGTCCTAGTGTGTCGATCAAGTATAACTATACAAACTACAACATGCAGTAGTACTACCACCAACAAAAAGGTCATACCACTTGCCTGTAGCAACTCCTCAAGTCTAGTCCTGATTTTCTCTCATACAACGTATAATCATTGTAATTCAAATCACAATGAAAATAAAAGGGTAAGTTAGAGTTC